TCCGCAGGGATTGGTCACTTTTGATCGAAACAAGATTTTGCAAAAACGCACGGGTTTGACCTTGACGAACTTCCTATCAAAGTCAAATGAATTGAATGAAATTTATCCGAAATTAATCAGATCACCCTAAAAAGGGTAAATTGATCAAATAGATTGAACGAAACTTGTTTTATTCAAAATCGGCTCGGTTGCCCTAAAAATGGGTAAATTGGTCAAATGCATGAAATTGAATTAGGGATTTATTCAAAAATCGGCCGAATGACCCTAAAAAGGGTAAATTGGTCAAAAGACCCTAAAAAGGGTAATTTGGTCAAATGAATTGACGATTCATTCAAAATCGACCGGATGACCCTAAGAAGGGTAAATTGGTCAAATGAATTAATGATTTATTCAAAATCGACCGGATGACCCTAAGAAGGGTAAATTGGTTAAATGCATTGATGATTTATTGAATGAATCGACCGGATGACCCTAAAAAGGGTACATTGGTCAAATGGATTAGATGAAATGAATTTATTCAAAAATGACTAGATTGAACTAAAATTGAATGAATTGGAAAATGATTTGTTCAAAAATCGATTGAATTATTCGCCCACTGGGTGGTTTCAAGAAATCATTACAATGCCTTGGTCTATGAGCTTCTAAAATCAAAATTTGGCCTCTATATTTATCGTCTCAACAATGAGGAATCATTTCTTCGAATTAACGTCCTTTTACGCAAGGGAATTTTACCAATTTTGAGAAAATGGCCAAAAAGTGATTATTAGATGCTCATATTCCAAAAAATTGCTTCATGAAAATGATCGGATCTTTACCTTACCTTGTGCACTACCCCTTCGGACGGTACGAGAAAGGTAAACGTGCAAGTCTCATTTGGATTATATATCCGAGACATGGGGTGGTTTATTCCTAACACGGGATCCCCTAAATGGCATTCCCTTTCTAGGGTTTATGCATGATGCCATTTATTAAAGCTATGTAAATATGTGACAAACACGAAATGTGAGCTAAAGGACATAAATAATGCAACGGGGGAAAAGGTCTAAACATGAAATGTATTCACTGAAAAGTAAGTGCAAAGACTGAAATTTAGACATGTGAGCTATCTAGTGGGTGAGTCACTAAAAGAGTGCCCAAGAGGCCTCTTATTGCTAAGGCACATGAATGCAAGCCAAGAAAACAAAAGAAATGGTTAGTGCAGTTGATAGTACACATAACACATTGGGAGCAATTAAGAAAAGAAAAACAATAAAGTAGGTAAAAGGGGTGGAACCCTCTCCCTCGTGCCTAATGTGCTTAAAATAGGGTGAGGCTGACTTTAGCCTAGGAAAATGCTAATATGGATGCATGAGGCTGGGGTTCACTAATGCCTAGACTCGATAAAGCTTCGGTTCCCAAGCCTTCAGACCTAAAGGCGAAGGGTCATCACTCCCAGGGCCTTCGATCGGTGGCTCGAGTGATCCCTTAGGTAGCGCTATGGGCGCAGAGCACACCAGCCGCCTACCCAAGGCAATCGATCCTAATCCTACAAGGCGGTGTGGGATGGCGCCCACGAAAAACAAAATAAAATGGGATAAAGCAAGTAAACGTGCACGTATGAAGTGCTCCCCTATTTTGAGGGAAGGGGTGAGAACCACGCGAGGCTCTAAAGGTGACACACCCCCCCCAAATGCAATGCAAGCGCGAGATAAACAAGTAAACAACATCCAATCAACCAATCACACATACGTGAGTGAGAGAATAGTTGGATATGCGCGCGAGACAAATGGCCCTAAAAATGGAAAATGCAAGCCTAATATCCAAATGCAATGCATAAAAAGGGTAGAAAAAGGGAAACGAATGGCTAAGTCAAATGCTTGGACCCACTTAGGAAGTCCCCAGTGGAGTCGCCAACTGTCGCGCCCCACTTTTTGATTGTGTAGTGTGTGTGGTGTGTGAAGTGTGGTGTGAACGTGTGCAAAATGAAAAGTAAAAAGGCCATGGGACTTTGGAAAGCGACGATTTGGCCAAATGAAATTTTAAAAAAGGGTTTTTTAAATATGAAAACGGAGTCGCCACTTGGTATAGATTTGGGGTGTACCAAGTCACCCAAAAAGTGTTTTTTAAAGACAAAGTAGTAAAACCCTTTTTAAAACGACTCCTAGTCCACGTAAGCCAAAGAAAAAGGTTCGGGGGTCACGTTTGACAAAGGGGAAGGCAAGAATAGAATCCAAGGCACCCCTTTGACCTAGCCAAGGCTAGTTGCGCGACTTAACCTTACCTTTCCTAATTTTCTACCCAATATATGTTCGCACGTTGGATATGACTATATGAATGCAAAACGGAAAGAAAAATGCAATCCTAAATTCTACGATGTCTCTCGTGAGGCTTTTGGTCCCAAACCACATGAATTGTGGCGGCCAACAAAGGAAAACCCCATAGAGGTCGATTAATGCAAATGAGACTCAAGTGTGCAAGTGTGAAAGTGTATGAAAGAAATTAAAAATCCAAGTGTTTGTGTGCAAGTGTATGAAAAGGTGCACGTGTGTAATTGTATGAAAATTCCAAGTGTTTGTGTGCAAGTGTATGGAATATAGTGATAAGTGCATATAGGTGTAATTAAATGCAATTTTGTGAAGTAGAAATCAAAATGAACAATAAGGAAAGGAAAATGTGAATTGAAAAGAATGAGTGAGTGATAAATGAGAATGAATGAACCTAAGGGAATGCATCAGGTCGGGTATGGGAATGACTCCTAACTTGTCGACTTCGATTTTCCCTTTGATTAGAAGGCGAAACTAGCGTGCTAAGGCTATCGAGTAGCCACACTCGCTCGTTTCCCTTATCAGAAGGGGACCCTCAAGCAAATGGACCCTACAACTATCATGATATGCAAAAATCCTAAAATGAAGGGAAAGGGGGTTCGAGGAGCATGCCAAGTGATAAAACTAAGAAAAAATGCATGATATGTGGTGAACGAGCAAATGATATGCTAATGAGGGGAAATCCCTAAGGGTCTAGCGTTGGACTAGCCCATTCTATGAATTCCGACTAGCGTTGGACTAGCGGAAACGTACATTCATCCATTCCATTCATTCATGGCTATGAAAGCAAGTAGACATGCCAAAATACTCGTAAACACATAGCACATAGCATTTAGCATGCTCGACTAGATGCAAGAGCCTACTAAAGCAATTAAACATGTAGCAACAAAAACAAGCAACCAAGGGGAAGGGGAAATGGACCAGATGCTCTACGAGCCCTATCTATTACAAGCCAAGAGGTGTACACATACCCCATAAAAGCATAAAGGGGAAGGGAAAATGGACCAAATGCTCTTCGAGCCCTATCTATTACAAGCCAAGAGGTGTACACATACCCCATAAAACTTAAATGAAAGTAAAAGCAAGCAAATGCAGGCAAGGAGGTAAGGAAAGCGGAGTAGGCATGCATATTCACATAACACGTAGGAGCACGTAGGAAAAATAAACTCAAGAATATAGAAGTTACCTCCCTTGCAACGGAAATCGAGTAAATGAGATATTAGCTTCAAAACAATAAAAAGGTCAAGGTACCAATTTATTTGGCAAATAATCACAAAGGATAAAAAATAAGCATGAATTTGAATCAATTAAATCATGTCGACAATTCACATTTAAGAAGTCAAGAGAAGAAAGGACCTGATTGCAAAGATTGACAAAGTTTGGAGGTCAAAATTAAAGAAAAATAAAGTTCAGGGACCTATTTGCAATTAATTTAAGGACCGAATTGAAAGAAGTTGAAAATGTCCAGGGCCACAATACAGCTAAGGAGAAATTCAGGGGCTGATTTGCAAATTTGCTTTCTGGTTTCTTAATGGACCAAGCCATTGGGCCATTTGCTTATTCGTTCGGGCCAAAATCACTTGGCCCAAACCGAAATCCAAAACAAAAAGGAATGGGTCATTTTACTTTGACCCAAAACATAAACCAACGAATTGATGGACTTTAAACCTTCGGCCCAGGACCAATCCAAATGAAAGGAAACCAAACCCAGTTCCAAGTAGCCCAAACAAATAATCTCTTATCACTTATTTCATTAAACCCAACAAGACAAACAAAATTATTAAGCCATAATTATGACTCATCATCAAGAATTAATCTATCCACAAAGTCACATAAAATATTCAAACAGAGGATTAAACTTAAAAAGGCAAAATTAGTTCAATTTTTCCAGATTTTGGGCCATATCAGAACAAGGGGGAAACTTGGGGTTCAATCATAATAAAATAGGGACTTAATTGAAGGAATCATGAAGGTTTAGAGGGTCACAATTAGAAACTCTGGAACTCTGGGGCTAAATTATAAAATAAAAAGCAAATGGAATGACTGAAGTTGATTTTGGACAAACGATCGTCTTCCCTAACAAATTAAACAATAGCCCGCCATTTCTGTCCTTCTTTCAAGCAGAGCAAGATAAAAAAAGTTTCAACTTAGACATTCTCCGCAGACAACGAAATCCACAACTTCTTTCCCTAACATCAATTCGGGAAGCAAAGGGGAACGAAAAGAAAAAAAAAAAAAAAATGCCAAACGCCAATACATCACAATTTTCAAACGTCCGGAGATGAGCTCGCTGACTTAACTAGTTTTTTCATACGAAAAAATGCAGGCAAATTAGTTTCCAATTAGCATTTCCAATTGGGCATTTTATCAAACACTGAATGGGCATAAAAAGTTTCAGCAGAACTTTGCTCAATTGAGATTACAATCAGCCCAAAATTAGTCAGAAACATAAAGACGTTCAGCCCCAATCAACACAGAAATCATGTAGGCTCAAATTTGCGCACAATCAACATAACAATGACAATAAGCCATTCTCTTCTGAGAGTTTTATAGGCCTAAGCTTAAAGAGAACCAAAATTTGAAAGGGGGAAGAGGACTCACAGCATCTGCTCGGCAACGATGGTGACGGACATTCGATGAGGTTATGGCAGCTCGGTGAATTGGAAACCTCTGTTGCCGTTGCTGCTCAAATCATCCATGGAAGAGGAGCAAATGGAGAAGCAGTTGACGAGAGGCTCTGGTCGCGGCCTTTCCCTCTTGCTTCTGCCTGAAGCTCTTCTGAATGGCCTCGGCTTCTACCTTCACGGCTGCGGTGGTTTCGATGAAGGTTGCGCGCGGTGAGGCAACGGCAGATGGCGTGAGGAAGAGAGGAGATTTGGGGTGGGCGGCAGTGCGCGAAAGAAAAACAAGGGGAGAAAACAGGGGCGGCCTCTGCTTCTCGTTTCTTTTTCCAGAAAATTTTTCCCCTGCCCGAGCTCTTCTTCCACCTTGATCAACCTTTGTCCGCCGCTCTTTCCTTGCTCTTTCCTTTCGTACCTCTTCTCAATTTCCATTTTTCCCTCTGTTTTTCCTCTCAAGGCCGAAGCCCCCTGCTTAGCTCTCCAGATTTTCATCGTCCCCTCCCCTCTGTTTTTCCTCTCTTGCTCTGTTCTCTTTTCTTTTTTTTTTCTCTCCAAAGCCTTCACTCTTTTTCCTCCTTTGTGTTTCTGCTATCTGATTTTTCCTTAGCCGCGTCCTCTCCTGTTTTCATTGTTTCAGCCGTCTATTTTTCTGTTTTTTCTCCATGCCCGATAGCTCCCTTCTCTAATCTTCCCCTTGCGGCTGCCTTGCTGCTTTCTTTTTATATGTAGCTCTCAACTCTAAAACCCTCAGCAAACTCTACTAATATTGCAGCCCAAGGGACTGCCCAGGTCCTCTCTTGCAAGCTGCGTAAATACGCAGCTTGCTGTCGCGTGTTTCTCTTTTTTTTATTTTTTTTTATTTTTTTATTTATAAAAGTATAATATAAATAGCTAATTTCCTAATGATAAATAATAACAAATAAATGCAGAAAAGCTAATTAAGATAAAACGACATGCTAATTTTCCTTCTTTCTTTTCTTCTTTTTCCTTTTTTCATTTTCAAGAAATTCTATGCTAAAAACTTAAAAATAATAATAACACAAAAAACTAAAAAACTAAAAACTAAAAAGTGAAAAAAACGAGCACAGACTAAAAAATAATTAGTAAATGAAATTACATCAAAATTTGGTGTCTACAGTTTGCCCCTCTTTGTCTGAGTTTTGGAAAAACTTGAGACAAAGAAGTAGACACCAAATGCTTACCTGTGTTATTCGGCTACAAGCGTCTCGAACGATGGGTGCTTTAGAAATGGGGACTGACCCTTTTGACAAAAATTAAAAATGGGATTGATCCAAACAGAAAATTTAAAATCGGGACTGACCCGAACAGAAATTTAAAATTGGGATAGACCCACGGGATAGACCCGAACAGAAATTTAAAATTGGGATAGACCCGCGGGATGTTGTGAAGTTGGCGGCACGAAATCCAGGCCCAACGTGATTTTTGGAATGTTGGCGGCACGAAACCCAGGCCCAACTTGATGTTTGTGAGGTTGGCGGCACGAAATCCAGGCCCAACTTGATGTTTGGAACGTTGGCGGCACAAAATCCAGGCCCAACAGAATTTTTGGAATGTTGGCGGCACGAAATCCAGGCCCAACTTGATTTTTAGAATATTTGGCCGGCACATACCACCACTTGATTTGAATAAGTGCCGGCACGAAATCCAGCGCACAACTTGATTTTTAGAATCGTTGGCGCCACGAAATCCAGAGGCATCAACTTTGATGCTTTGTAGGTTGGCCGGCACGAAATCCAAGGCCCAACTTGCTTTTTTAGAACTGTTTGCGCGGCACGAAATCCAGGCGCCCAACTGATTTAATGCTTGTAACACAGCGGCACGAAAATCCAGGCCCAACTTAATTGGAAGGAGATCAAAACAACTTGAGAGGTATGAACAGAAAATGAAGGAAGAGCGACAAAAGAGAATTCGTGAGAGGCAGAAGGAATTCTTCAGCGAAGTAGAGGTTCATAGGTATGTAAACTGCTGTATGTTGAATCTTTCGCTTTTGTTTTTGGAGGATTTGGCTACTCAAACTGGTTCAATTATGTCTTTTGACAAACCAACTTCAGGGAAAGACTGGAAGATGTATTCAAAATGAAAAGAGAACGCTGGAAAGGTTTCAATAAGTATGTGAGGGAATTCCATAAGAGGAAGGAACGCATACATCGAGAGAAGATTGATAGGATCCAGCGTGAGAAGATTAATTTATTAAAAATCAATGACGTTGAGGGGTATCTTCGGATGGTCCAGGTATAGTATGGCTTTATTACGATTTTCCTTGAGGCTAAGATTAGGTTGTTGTACTTACTATGCCCGCAATGGACTTACAGGATGCCAAATCAGATCGTGTAAAACAACTACTTAAAGAGACTGAAAAATATCTTCAAAAGCTTGGAACCAAACTGCAGGAAGCAAAGTCAATCGATGTAGATGAGAGCAGAACAGCTACTACTGTGGAGAAAAATGAGATTTCAGTTGAGAATGAAGATGAAACAGACCAAGCAAAGGTTTCTGATTAAGATTTCAAAATGTTCTGTTGTGGTAGAATAATTTATTTTTTTCCCTGGCTTATTTGTTTGTGATCCCATTTTGTAGCATTACTTGGAAATTTTTAGAATGTTCAGTGGGATAAGACCCAATCCTTTGATTTTTTGATTTTTGACTTCTGAATTTTTCTGATTTTTCAAGAGAATCCTTTTCAAGAATAATTTGCCCCAGTGTAGGGCCCTTTTCCCCTTCTTTCTTCTTTCTCTTCGGCATCGGCCTTCCACAACTCAGAAGCTTTTCGTCGACTTCAACTGTGAATACCTGCACAGGGGCTTACATGCACCTAACTTTTCATGAAAAGGGCAGCGTGATTGATTTGAAAGTCTTGCTTGACCCTTTGATGAATTCCTCAAACAAGCTATAAAAAATTTGCCCCAGTGTGGGCTTGTTTTGCGAAATCTGGCTAATAAAAATTTTGCCCCAGTATGGGCCCATTTGATTGCAAAAATTGGTTTGGATGCCCTTCCATTTATTTGAACAAAGTAAGAAACTGTGTTTTCTGTATAATGTGAAGAAAATTGAACGTCTTGCTTAGAATTACACAGAAAATTTCATGATGAATTTTTTTTAAAATAATGCCAAATTACAAAAGAATTCTTCCTCACCTTGGCATCGATGCTTTGGGTAATGGGTCACCCTTTCCAATTGGCTCATCTGTCAGGACCAATCAAGTGACTTTATTTTTGATTTGGGAATGGCTAAAGGAAAATGGGAGGTCAAGATTTGCCTCATTTCGTGCTCAGATGGTATGTAATCCCTTCAATACCACATCTCAGTGAAAGCAAAGAGTTTGTCACCCTTATTTCTTAAGAAAACTTAGTCAACGTATAAGCTCAAGGGTTTGCAAAATTTTGGGTAGAAATGATAGCTAAACGTGTGAAATCTGGTTATACCCTTATTATCATGAGTGATCGATGGATTTTTATGAGCATAATCCTCACTTTGGATTGTCATGAAGGAATAAGTCAACGATGGACTTTATTAGCTTGTAATGTGACTTGAAGACGATAGTTAAAGAAATAATTTCCAAAGGACATTGCACCAAAGATCGCATTTTTCAACATTGCCCTCATCTGGACTTCAGATTCTTGGACTTTGTTTGACTTTTTATCATCACCCAGCAGGGACTTTCAGCATCAAATCTTTTTTGCATCTTTCTTTTGCATTCATTTCGCTCGTTTTTCCTTTTCCCCAAAAATGCCCTCGCGGGGTTTCACATGAAGAGCAGTGTCAACCTCACACCTAATCAATTCAGAATACAGCTAAAATTTTCGACATCAGAGATTTCCTTGACAAAGCCAGTGCAAAGAACAGAAGTCAGGGCTTTCGGCTTTTGTAATGGGGTCAGGTGGGGTGCTTAGAAAAGTTAAGGCTTGAAAACGGATTTCAAAAGCGGTTTGAAAAATCTGAGATCGCATTGTTGCGTCAACCCTATTTTAGGGTTAAATCAGAATTTGCCCCAGTTTATGCTCAACTGAGGCTTTTCACTTTCATTTTCTTTCTTCTTTTGACTTTTCGGCTTTTTGCCATTCTTTGAAATTTGCCCCAGTTTATTTTTGAACTGAGCTTCTCTTTTCTTCTTTTGATTTGGATTTTGTTGCTTTTCACTTTTCACTTCTTGAAACTTTTTCTTTTCAACACAAACTCACCCCTAGTGTGGGGTTTGCGATTCTCAGGGGTTGTCAAACGAAATTATCCATTCTGATGGCTCAAAAGGGATAACTAGGGATAGATGCTTGATCGGAAAAGAAGGGGGCCTGACCGTTATTCCGTTCCTTACAATAACTCCGAAAGGAAACTTTTATTAATGGGAAATTTTGGCATGTATCTGAATTAACTGATTGAGGAGGACCCTTGTTCATCCATATTTGTGAAACGTTGGCGATCCACGCGGACAAATCTCTTCCCTTTCTTTTTCCAAAAATGGAAACCCAGATAGATTCAAATTTCTCCAATTTGTGATTCCCTCTTTTCTTTTCTTTTGGCATTTTTGCTTTTCTCTTTTCTCTTTTTTCCAAAATTTCCCAATCTCCTTCCCCAATGTGGGGTGCGATCATATGTGCACTCGAAAAGAACCACCAATTTTTGCTCAAATGGGGATGCAAGGGATAAACAGTGTTTAGGATTGTAGAAGCGATGGCCAAAGTATCATTCTTACACTTCATGACAACCAGAGTAACGAAATGGTTATTAAAAATCCATTCCCCTTTTAGATATTTGAAAACTTTCCAATGAAGGGTAGTGATCATTAAGACCCTTATTTGAAACGAAATTATTCTTTTAGAGGCTCAAATGGGAGAGTAAATGATAAAAATCTGTATAGGTAATGAAACGAATGCTTGAAGTATCATTCCAATTTTCCCAAACAAATAAGGACAATGCACATTTTTGCTTTCACTTAGATGTGATTGAACCAGATTGGACACCTTGAACATTTTCAAGCAAAAGTTGCCCCAATTTACAATTTATCAATCAATGTGACTGATTTTATTTTGGAATTAAGTGAAGGAGAAAGGTATCTCATAGGGCCTTTTGAGTGACCGTTCACTCTCTTTCTTTCTGAGCACTCTTATTGTACAGGTTGGAACACCAATCGAGTGTAAGGATTTTAGGAAGCATACACTTGTGAAATTCAGGCTATAGGTTGAAAAATCTCAAATTGGGTCTTATTTCTCAAAATTCATCATGAAATCTCCAATGAGTAAGAATAAAGAATGAAATGTACATAAATATACACAAAACAAAAATTATCCAAAAAATTTTATTGGTGAAAAGTTTGAAACAAAATTTCTCAATCAATTATGATACAAATGAGAAGAGAGAAACTCGTAAAGAGCTCAACACATACACCTTTTGTCTCCTTTTCTTTTGGAACAAAATGTATTACCAAATCAAATAAATAGAATTTCTCCTTTTTGCTTTCGCGGCAATGTCTGCCCAAGAATCAAGTAATACTTGTAATCTTCAAGCTTTATTGGATCAAAATTATCAGATATAGAAGAATATTCTCGCCTTATTGAACCATTTTTATGAATGTAGGGGAGGGGAAAACAAAAAGAAAAATACCCAGAGTCAGTAAGTAAGAATAAAAAAAACGGTATGCATGTCCTATGGGGGAACCCTTTTATGCCAAGGGTAGGCCTAGCATGAAAATGCAATCCTCTAGGGTAGGCACTATACCATACCTGACGGATCCGATCAACTCATTGAGTGAAAAATAATTTGAAAAAATTTGGTCAATTGGAATGAGAAGGGACGTTTGTCAAAATAAGGACCTCGTCCGCAGGGATTGGTCACTTTTGATCGAAACAAGATTTTGCAAAAACGCACGGGTTTGACCTTGACGAACTTCCTATCAAAGTCAAATGAATTGAATGAAATTTATCCGAAATTAATCAGATCACCCTAAAAAGGGTAAATTGATCAAATAGATTGAACGAAACTTGTTTTATTCAAAATCGGCTCGGTTGCCCTAAAAATGGGTAAATTGGTCAAATGCATGAAATTGAATTAGGGATTTATTCAAAAATCGGCCGAATGACCCTAAAAAGGGTAAATTGGTCAAAAGACCCTAAAAAGGGTAATTTGGTCAAATGAATTGACGATTCATTCAAAATCGACCGGATGACCCTAAGAAGGGTAAATTGGTCAAATGAATTAATGATTTATTCAAAATCGACCGGATGACCCTAAGAAGGGTAAATTGGTTAAATGCATTGATGATTTATTGAATGAATCGACCGGATGACCCTAAAAAGGGTACATTGGTCAAATGGATTAGATGAAATGAATTTATTCAAAAATGACTAGATTGAACTAAAATTGAATGAATTGGAAAATGATTTGTTCAAAAATCGATTGAATTATTCGCCCACTGGGTGGTTTCAAGAAATCATTACAATGCCTTGGTCTATGAGCTTCTAAAATCAAAATTTGGCCTCTATATTTATCGTCTCAACAATGAGGAATCATTTCTTCGAATTAACGTCCTTTTACGCAAGGGAATTTTACCAATTTTGAGAAAATGGCCAAAAAGTGATTATTAGATGCTCATATTCCAAAAAATTGCTTCATGAAAATGATCGGATCTTTACCTTACCTTGTGCACTACCCCTTCGGACGGTACGAGAAAGGTAAACGTGCAAGTCTCATTTGGATTATATATCCGAGACATGGGGTGGTTTATTCCTAACACGGGATCCCCTAAATGGCATTCCCTTTCTAGGGTTTATGCATGATGCCATTTATTAAAGCTATGTAAATATGTGACAAACACGAAATGTGAGCTAAAGGACATAAATAATGCAACGGGGGAAAAGGTCTAAACATGAAATGTATTCACTGAAAAGTAAGTGCAAAGACTGAAATTTAGACATGTGAGCTATCTAGTGGGTGAGTCACTAAAAGAGTGCCCAAGAGGCCTCTTATTGCTAAGGCACATGAATGCAAGCCAAGAAAACAAAAGAAATGGTTAGTGCAGTTGATAGTACACATAACACATTGGGAGCAATTAAGAAAAGAAAAACAATAAAGTAGGTAAAAGGGGTGGAACCCTCTCCCTCGTGCCTAATGTGCTTAAAATAGGGTGAGGCTGACTTTAGCCTAGGAAAATGCTAATATGGATGCATGAGGCTGGGGTTCACTAATGCCTAGACTCGATAAAGCTTCGGTTCCCAAGCCTTCAGACCTAAAGGCGAAGGGTCATCACTCCCAGGGCCTTCGATCGGTGGCTCGAGTGATCCCTTAGGTAGCGCTATGGGCGCAGAGCACACCAGCCGCCTACCCAAGGCAATCGATCCTAATCCTACAAGGCGGTGTGGGATGGCGCCCACGAAAAACAAAATAAAATGGGATAAAGCAAGTAAACGTGCACGTATGAAGTGCTCCCCTATTTTGAGGGAAGGGGTGAGAACCACGCGAGGCTCTAAAGGTGACACACCCCCCCCAAATGCAATGCAAGCGCGAGATAAACAAGTAAACAACATCCAATCAACCAATCACACATACGTGAGTGAGAGAATAGTTGGATATGCGCGCGAGACAAATGGCCCTAAAAATGGAAAATGCAAGCCTAATATCCAAATGCAATGCATAAAAAGGGTAGAAAAAGGGAAACGAATGGCTAAGTCAAATGCTTGGACCCACTTAGGAAGTCCCCAGTGGAGTCGCCAACTGTCGCGCCCCACTTTTTGATTGTGTAGTGTGTGTGGTGTGTGAAGTGTGGTGTGAACGTGTGCAAAATGAAAAGTAAAAAGGCCATGGGACTTTGGAAAGCGACGATTTGGCCAAATGAAATTTTAAAAAAGGGTTTTTTAAATATGAAAACGGAGTCGCCACTTGGTATAGATTTGGGGTGTACCAAGTCACCCAAAAAGTGTTTTTTAAAGACAAAGTAGTAAAACCCTTTTTAAAACGACTCCTAGTCCACGTAAGCCAAAGAAAAAGGTTCGGGGGTCACGTTTGACAAAGGGGAAGGCAAGGATAGAATCCAAGGCACCCCTTTGACCTAGCCAAGGCTAGTTGCGCGACTTAACCTTACCTTTCCTAATTTTCTACCCAATATATGTTCGCACGTTGGATATGACTATATGAATGCAAAACGGAAAGAAAAATGCAATCCTAAATTCTACGATGTCTCTCGTGAGGCTTTTGGTCCCAAACCACATGAATTGTGGCGGCCAACAAAGGAAAACCCCATAGAGGTCGATTAATGCAAATGAGACTCAAGTGTGCAAGTGTGAAAGTGTATGAAAGAAATTAAAAATCCAAGTGTTTGTGTGCAAGTGTATGAAAAGGTGCACGTGTGTAATTGTATGAAAATTCCAAGTGTTTGTGTGCAAGTGTATGGAATATAGTGATAAGTGCATATAGGTGTAATTAAATGCAATTTTGTGAAGTAGAAATCAAAATGAACAATAAGGAAAGGAAAATGTGAATTGAAAAGAATGAGTGAGTGATAAATGAGAATGAATGAACCTAAGGGAATGCATCAGGTCGGGTATGGGAATGACTCCTAACTTGTCGACTTCGATTTTCCCTTTGATTAGAAGGCGAAACTAGCGTGCTAATGCTATCGAGTAGCCACACTCGCTCGTTTCCCTTATCAGAAGGGGACCCTCAAGCAAATGGACCCTACAACTATCATGATATGCAAAAATCCTAAAATGAAGGGAAAGGGGGTTCGAGGAGCATGCCAAGTGATAAAACTAAGAAAAATGCATGATATGTGGTGCACAAGCAAATGATATGCTAATGAGGGGAAATCCCTAAGGGTCTAGCGTTGGATTAGCCCATTCTATGAATTCCGACTAGCGTTGGACTAGCGGAAACGTACATTCATCCATTCCATTCATTCATGGCTATGAAAGCAAGTAGACATGCCAAAATACTCGTAAACACATAGCACATAGCATTTAGCATGCTCGACTAGATGCAAGAGCCTACTAAAGCAATTAAACATGTAGCAACAAAAACAAGCAACCAAGGGGAAGGGGAAATGGACCAGATGCTCTACGAGCCCTATCTATTACAAGCCAAGAGGTGTACACATACCCCATAAAAGCATAAAGGGGAAGGGAAAATGGACCAAATGCTCTTCGAGCCCTATCTATTACAAGCCAAGAGGTGTACACATACCCCATAAAACTTAAATGAAAGTAAAAGCAAGCAAATGCAGGCAAGGAGGTAAGGAAAGCGGAGTAGGCATGCATATTCACATAACACGTAGGAGCACGTAGGAAAAATAAACTCAAGAATATAGAAGTTACCTCCCTTGCAACGGAAATCGAGTAAATGAGATATTAGCTTCAAAACAATAAAAAGGTCAAGGTACCAATTTATTTGGCAAATAATCACAAAGGATAAAAAATAAGCATGAATTTGAATCAATTAAATCATGTCGACAATTCACATTTAAGAAGTCAAGAGAAGAAAGGACCTGATTGCAAAGATTGACAAAGTTTGGAGGTCAAAATTAAAGAAAAATAAAGTTCAGGGACCTATTTGCAATTAATTTAAGGACCGAATTGAAAGAAGTTGAAAATGTCCAGGGCCACAATACAGCTAAGGAGAAATTCAGGGGCTGATTTGCAAATTTGCTTTCTGGTTTCTTAATGGACCAAGCCATTGGGCCATTTGCTTATTCGTTCGGGCCAAAATCACTTGGCCCAAACCGAAATCCAAAACAAAAAGGAATGGGTCATTTTACTTTGACCCAAAACATAAACCAACGAATTGATGGACTTTAAACCTTCGGCCCAGGACCAATCCAAATGAAAGGAAACCAAACCCAGTTCCAAGTAGCCCAAACAAATAATCTCTTATCACTTATTTCATTAAACCCAACAAGACAAACAAAATTATTAAGCCATAATTATGACTCATCATCAAGAATTAATCTATCCACAAAGTCACATAAAATATTCAAACAGAGGATTAAACTTAAAAAGGCAAAATTAGTTCAATTTTTCCAGATTTTGGGCCATATCAGAACAAGGGGGAAACTTGGGGTTCAATCATAATAAAATAGGGACTTAATTGAAGGAATCATGAAGGTTTAGAGGGTCACAATTAGAAACTCTGGAACTCTGGGGCTAAATTATAAAATAAAACGCAAATGGAATGACTGAAGTTGATTTTGGACAAACGATCGTCTTCCCTAACAAATTAAACAATAGCCCGCCATTTCTGTCCTTCTTTCAAGCAGAGCAAGATAAAAAAAGTTTCAACTTAGACATTCTCCGCAGACAACGAAATCCACAACTTCTTTCCCTAACATCAATTCGGGAAGCAAAGGGGAACGAAAAGAAAAAAAAAAAAAAAATGCCAAACGCCAATACATCACAATTTTCAAACGTCCGGAGATGAGCTCGCTGACTTAACTAGTTTTTTCATACGAAAAAATGCAGGCAAATTAGTTTCCAATTAGCATTTCCAATTGGGCATTTTATCAAACACTGAATGGGCATAAAAAGTTTCAGCAGAACTTTGCTCAATTGAGATTACAATCAGCCCAAAATTAGTCAGAAACATAAAGACGTTCAGCCCCAATCAACACAGAAATCATGTAGGCTCAAATTTGCGCACAATCAACATAACAATGACAATAAGCCATTCTCTTCTGAGAGTTTTATAGGCCTAAGCTTAAAGAGAACCAAAATTTGAAAGGGGGAAGAGGACTCACAGCATCTGCTCGGCAACGATGGTGACGGACATTCGATGAGGTTATGGCAGCTCGGTGAATTGGAAACCTCTGTTGCCGTTGCTGCTCAAATCATCCATGGAAGAGGAGCAAATGGAGAAGCAGTTGACGAGAGGCTCTGGTCGCGGCCTTTCCCTCTTGCTTCTGCCTGAAGCTCTTCTGAATGGCCTCGGCTTCTACCTTCACGGCTGCGGTGGTTTCGATGAAGGTTGCGCGCGGTGAGGCAACGGCAGATGGCGTGAGGAAGAGAGGAGATTTGGGGTGGGCGGCAGTGCGCGAAAGAAAAACAAGGGGAGAAAACAGGGGCGGCCTCTGCTTCTCGTTTCTTTTTCCAGAAAATTTTTCCCCTGCCCGAGCTCTTCTTCCACCTTGATCAACCTTTGTCCGCCGCTCTTTCCTTGCTCTTTCCTTTCGTACCTCTTCTCAATTTCCATTTTTCCCTCTGTTTTTCCTCTCAAGGCCGAAGCCCCCTGCTTAGCTCTCCAGATTTTCATCGTCCCCTCCCCTCTGTTTTTCCTCTCTTGCTCTGTTCTCTTTTCTTTTTTTTTTCTCTCCAAAGCCTTCACTCTTTTTCCTCCTTTGTGTTTCTGCTATCTGATTTTTCCTTAGCCGCGTCCTCTCCTGTTTTCATTGTTTCAGCCGTCTATTTTTCTGTTTTTTCTCCATGCCCGATAGCTCCCTTCTCTAATCTTCCCCTTGCGGCTGCCTTGCTGCTTTCTTTTTATATGTAGCTCTCAACTCTAAAACCCTCAGCAAACTCTACTAATATTGCAGCCCAAGGGACTGCCCAGGTCCTCTCTTGCAAGCTGCGTAAATACGCAGCTTGCTGTCGCGTGTTTCTCTTTTTTTTATTTTTTTTTATTTTTTTATTTATAAAAGTATAATATAAATAGCTAATTTCCTAATGATAAATAATAACAAATAAATGCAGAAAAGCTAATTAAGATAAAACGACATGCTAATTTTCCTTCTTTCTTTTCTTCTTTTTCCTTTTTTCATTTTCAAGAAATTCTATGCTAAAAACTTAAAAATAATAATAACACAAAAAACTAAAAAACTAAAAACTAAAAAGTGAAAAAAACGAGCACAGACTAAAAAATAATTAGTAAATGAAATTACACCAAAATTTGGTGTCTACACTATACATGAGATATCTCTTCAGACACACTAATAACTCATTACACGCGCTTCCTTTGTCTCGAGCCCTGTTGTAGACACCAAATTTTTGAATTAATGTTGTATGTGTGGTTTTAGTGATAATCGGTTGATTTTTGTTTAGACGGTTTTTGCATTTTAGCTCATTTTCGTTTGTCTGGCTTTTTTAGGTTTTATTTTATTTCCCTTTTTAGTTTTTAGTTGTTTTTGTAGTTTTTAATTTATAAGTTTTAGCGTAGATTTATTTTAGAGGAAAAAAAAAAGAAAAAAAGAAAAGAGAAAAGTGAAAATAAAAAAAAGGGGAAAAAGAAATGGGAAAAATGGTTTAATGCATACTGGCCTGTTTTGAAAAAAGTGAAAAGTTTGAAATTTGAAGGAAAAGTTTTTAGTGTAATAGGCATTATTTGCTTTTTGATACATTTTAATTGTTTTTCAAAGAAAAAGAAAAAATATATTATTGTTTCAGATTACAAGCATTTGTGTTTTTGGTGGCATTTTATTGTTATTTCTTTTATTGTTATGTTTATTTAAGTAAAGAAAAGAAAGAAAAGAAAAAAAGAAAATGGATGAAAAATGGAAGTTGTAATTTGCTGTTCAATTTCTGTTATCATAAACTTTGTTATTATCATTTATTTCATTTTTATTGTTATTAATTTCTGTTTAATTAGTTGAAAAAAAAAAAAAAAATGCAGCATGCACACTGCAATTTTTTGCAGCGTGCAAGGACGGCCAGGCTTGCCCTTTGGAGGGCTGGATGAGGGGGCCTGTCCTTGCCCCTCATCCTCACCTTACAAGCAAGGGTTTAGGGGTTTGAGAGGTAAGATAAATAGAAAAAGAAGTAGCAGCCGCAAAAAAGGAAGGGCTGAAAGCTAGAAAGGAAAAGAGGGTTTTTGGGCTGACGGCTAAAAGAAAAATTGAGAGCAAGAAAGACTGAGGTTTTGGAGGCGGCGGAGAACCAAAAAAAGCTAAAAAAAGAGCAAGAGTGAGGGAGCTCGAAGGAAAGGTCTGAGAGTGATGGCTGAGAAATCTTAAGGAAGGAAGAGAAAATTGTGAGAAAATCGAGAGTAAAGGGAGACAACCTCCGTTTCAGCTTCCAGAAGTACGGATAAAGATCCAAACTTTGAGTTTCTGTTGGCTTTTTCATATTGCTCCTAAACTTGCTAGTAGCCACGATAATTCAAGAACCAAATCTGTGCGAAGGAAGCTACGGGAAGAACCAGAAAGCTCCGGATTTCGCAGGGTTTTTATTTCCGTGAGAAACGGTATTTTTCTAAGCCGACAGGTCTTCCGTTTCTTCAAGCTGAGACTCTCAAGGTAACTTTCAATATGCTTCCTCTTTTTCTTCATTCCAAGTTCAATGAGTCTGCCGGCCATGATGCATCTGTTTTAATTAAATGAACTGCAAGCTTATTTAGAATCCACACGTAGAAGATTTCTGCCTTCGTTTTATGAATCTGGAATGGGTTATCCTAGAACCTGTTTTCCTTAATCTAATCTGATTGTAAAAGGGGGGGGGGAGAATCGTGTACGAAGATGGTTTGGTTAGATTTTTAGCTGCAGAAACTTGGATCGCTAGCAAGGTGGGGGAATCCAATGATGTTTGTTGGTCATCTGGATGGGCCTCCACTTAAGAGCTAAAGAATGGCCTTTCTGGGACTAATTTTTGCATGCTGTAGTGTTAAATGTTGTGTTTGCCGGCTTAAGGTCTAAGCTGGATGTTTGGTAGCATGATAACTGCGTTGGGATGAATTTTTTTGCATGAGATTAAACACAGCTAAGCTAAAGAATTAAACCTGGAATTGCAGCGAGCTTTTGATGAATGAAACATCCAATGCCTGCATTTTCTTCTTTTTTAATGGCTAGCTGAGTTTTGCATTTCAGTTTCATGCTGAATTTTGTGTTGGATAACAGAAGTGGAAATTTGGTTTTGAATCTGGGCATTTGGGTTTGAGGGGTATCTAAGTTATGTCCAAATGTCTGCCGGAAAAATGACTTCAGATTACCGAACAGATTTTTTTTAAGGTTTTGTTCTTGAGTTTTGTCCTGCCCTTTCGGCCTTCCAGTTGTGGTTTTGTTTAGATAACGATTCCATCTCGTTTCTTTTTGGTTTGTTTGCCTGAACACTCCTAAACTGAATAAGAAAATGGCACGAATGTGATTGCAAGAAAAGCTGAAATTTATAGAAAAATTGCAGCAGTGTCCGTCCCTTCAAAGAAAAACTGTGTTTGAGTTTTGGTTCCAGAAATTTTGCATCAGCTTTTTCTACTTTTGAACTCCTCCCTATGTCTTTGCTTGATTGATTGTCCATGATTTGTTTGTTTATTTCAAAGTTCAGATATTAGATCAAGGAAACTTTGGTTAAGGTATAGGTTTGAATTTGAATTGGGTCTTGGAAGGTGAAGCCGAGAAGCTTGCAGCAGTTTCATGCTTGTTTTTCTCTTCTTCTTTTCCAGATTTTTGCATGAGATCTTTCCTAAGTTTTTGCATGTTTGGATGATGACAATAATGTAATTGGTTATCTAGCTTAAAAGTTGTGAATTTGTATTTAAATTGCTGCTCCTGAATAGCAAATGGTATGTTTGGGATTTGGGTTTCGGTTGGTGAAAGAATAGCAGAAACATTGCAGAGATGTATTTCTTCGTGAGATTGCATGCATTTGCATGAAAATGTTTTCCAAAATTGCAAAATCCACCCCTCAAGTCTTCCTAGATTCACTACGGCCCAAACAATTAGAAAATTAATCAATTGGGTCCCTGTAATTTTTTCAGCAATGCTATAAAGACCCAATTAGGTTCCATTTCTTGCAATTAGGCCCTAAAATGTTTGTATTTGAACCATTCCTCCACCTTTTCTTTGCCTTCGAACCTTTGAAGTTCTAAAAATATTTGATTGAGTTTGAATGCTTGGTTAGTGTTCACATTTGAGTATTTGGTAGCATTAATGTTTTAATTCCATTGCTTGTTTGCTTTCATTGGTTACCATGTTTTGCTAAGGTGATGCTTAATGCATGGATTGGTGAACCTTGTGCCTAAATGAACTCGTGTTTGCTTATTTCCCTTAATCTCCCTAAAATAAGTTGATTACTTGACTTTGTCTTGCTTTTGGACCTTTAAAGCTCTTAAAACGTTTTAGTTGGTTTTGGTTTGATTGATTGATGGTTGATTTTGGATTCTAAAATGCAAGTGAAACCACTCATTGACCCGTATTTGATCTTAGGCATTTAAGTGCTTCTAATTGTTCAATTCCATGTTTATGTGTTGGATTGCTTGACCCGTGTTTTGTTTTGGACCTTTAAAGTTCTTAAATGTTCGATTGACTCGAATGTTTGGGTAAGGGATATGTTTGAGTCCTTAATAGATGCTTCACTTGGAAATCGAATAGGCCATGCCTTCTCCTTGATCTTTAAAGTACTTTTGACTACATTTAAGTTGTGATGGAGGAAATTTTTGATGTTTTGATGAATGCCATTTGGATTATTTATATTTTATCATTAAAGTGGTGCCTTAACCTTTTGTTTTGATGGTCTTAGCTTAAGCTGTCTTTTTGTTATATTCTACTATTTGAGGTACCTTGACCCTTTTTATTGTTTTGGAGGGTAAGTTAGTAATTTCACTACGTTAGGGCGTCACTTCAAGGGAGGTACACTCTATCCCTCATTTTGCACTTCGTTTGACCCTATGTGCTCCTACGTGTTATGTGAAATTGCATGCCTACTCCGCTTTCCTTATCTCCTTGCATGCATTTACTGGCTTTTACTTTATTTAAGATAGGGCTCGGAGAGCCTCTGGTCCATTTTCCCTTCCCCTTTATACTTTTATGGGGTATGTGTACACCTCTTGGCTTGTAATAGATAAGGCTCGGAGAGCCTCTGGTCCATTTTCCCTTCCCCTTTATGCTTTTATGGGGTATGTGTACACCTCTTGGCTTGTAATAGATAGGGCTCGGAGAGCCTTTGGTCCATTTTCCCTTCCCCTTTATGCTTTTATGGGGTATGTGTACACCTCTTGGCTTGTAATAGATAGGGCTCGTAGAGCATCTGGTCCATTTCCCCTTCCCCTTAGTTGCTT